ATATTATCCCAGTAATATTTGCTGCATGAAAGAAATTTATAGAGAAAAGAAAGAAAGAGTACACAGAAAAATTACATATATTCGTTTATAGTATAATTCAAATCAAATTTCTAGCTCAAGATGGTTCAGAAAGAGTTTCGAGGATAAATCGTAAGACCTGCGATATATGGTAAATGAGATTCGTATGGATTGTTTCAGAAAGAAAAATAAGAGGAAGTAATGGTATGCATGTATAAACGTAGGTAGATAGATGCATACCAATTGCTTTCCATTAAAATCTGATGTTCTTTTCCTTTCTCATAATCTATTTAGTGTATTAGATACACATATGTGTTTAAACTCTAGGACACGCGTTAAATGAAAGAAAAAAAAAATTACACTAGTACATGAATTTTTTTTTTCACTAAATCCAAGCTCATTTACAGTATTCGATTGAGTTTTTACGCCATCACATTTTCACGCCAAAATGAGAGGTATGGAGCATTCCGCACCAACCTGGATTCATCGAAAATTAAGGTTGTTATTATCACGTAAACAGACACGTGATGGTATCTTTCCGAATAAACTTTTAACCTTCCAATGTCACAGTCTTTGTTCGAATCTGTCTAAATTCAACATTACGCTTTTCTTTAAAATCCAAAAAGGGTAAACTATGAAAATCCACTTTGACATATGCAGCAGTTGGACCCTCTCACTTTCATGTACCACGTGTTGTTTCTGCTATTCGGGGTTATAGCATATTTGTTATGTGTCACTTAGTTCATTAATTATGCAGAGATTTACTCCACTTAATATCAGAGGCACACCAGATACAACTGCACCCAAAGTGTAGATTAACCGAGTATCGAGTGCACAGCTCAACAGACACCATACATATATCAGACAAACAAACAATAGCAGGCTCCTCTTTTAAAATATTTTGATCCGTGGCACAAAATGCTGCATAGTCAAATAAAATTATCAATCTTCAAAATCCAGTTTAATTGAATCATTTTTGTTCCCTTTCCATTTCGTCTTTTGACGTATAAGCTATGTCGATACATTTGCAAGTTAAAACCCAAACTATTAATAAGACAACTAAAAATAAAAATCACATTTTTATTACCACTTTGAATTCCATCAATCCATCCATTGGCTGGTAGGTTGCAATCCCACTGAGCCCCAAGGCCCGAACCCGACTACCTAATCCGAGCTCCGAGCCAGTCGAATTTTGCGAAAGCCACTCTTCAATTAAATCCAAAGACAGCTACAAACCATTTACAAATTACAAGACTAAAATTAGACCAAGCACAAACACTCATTCCCAAATCCACGAACAAGCAAAAAAAGAAAAAAAAAAAAAAAAAA